ATGTCGTTCCGCTGGTTGGCTTGAGCGGCACCCTCGTTCAAGGAATATCCACTTCATTGTCGCGCTCAAGCCCTACCGCAGGCCCAGTCGCTCTTGCAGCGCCTGAAACAACTGAGCCTAGAGAGCCAAATGATGGCCCTCGCGACACTCTCTACGACGTCGCACTTGACGATCCAAAAGTCGTGGATGATCTGCGAAACCACATTACCAAGTTCGTTTTCGCAGAGTCCGTGGACGGCGTCTCAATGGACACACAGATGTTCTTGAGACGCTCTGTTCCATGGAGTACCCCCATAGTCGAATGGGAAGATCTTAACGACGCGGTACAGCTCCTGTCCAAGACCATTGGTGAAGACGACCGACTGGCAGGAAACAGACGGGTCTGGGATATCGACTGCATGCACGCAGAACAAGACCAATTGGTCGGCGATAAAGGCAGGGATTGGTTCAATGCGATATGGGTACCGAGCCAAAGCTATGATTACAAAAATGAAGTGCTCCCAGGTACCGATCACGACTTGTTGGTGGACCCTGCCTTTGGTGGGAGCGAAAAATGGTTGCAGCGGGTCAGCGAGTCCTGGCAGACTTCGCAGCCTGTCGTAGGGGCTCCTTAGCATCAATTCTACCTTTGCATCGTCGCCTAGAAGTACGTTAATCGATAGCCAAGCCCTTGGTTTACCTGTCACCCGGTCCGGAAAAATGGCCGGACTCTAAACCCACCAAAACAGGCCTGCTTTAGGTAGAACGATAATATCTACCCCTCTTTGCACTCTTCTTATTCTACGACAACAAAAGAATAAAAGAAGCTTAATAGCTAGAAAAATGGAGCTTGTAATTCTTTACACTTCTAGTAATTAGAATATACAAAATAAATAAGATCTTGTAAAGATATAAGCGTGCAAAAGGTGTAGCTTTGGGAGTTCGGCGATTTTTCCGGACCGGGTGCCTGTATCAGCATGCAAAAGTGATGACTCGTGCATACAACGGAGATAACACGGCACTTTGCAGTAACGCCGATCTGACGTCTTCATCCAAGCGAGTCGCAGGGCTGAACACGCGAACACCATCATAGCCCTGCATCAACCATGGCCGAAGACATGCACATCAACCCCCAACGCGCGAAGCAGCTCACTGAGAACATCGCGAGTATAACCTCGCGCATCAACGCCGCCCGCCAAGGCAGCAAAGAAGTACGCCCATCCACCCCTTCAATCGCCCCAAAACCCACCTGCTAACACGCGACACTCCAGGTCCGCCTCATCGCCGTCTCCAAACTCAAACCCGCAAACGACATCCTCGCGCTACACAAACCATCCTCTCCCTCGCAGCCACCCCTCCAAACGCACTTTGGCGAAAACTACGTCCAAGAACTCCTCGAGAAGCACAAAATCCTGCCCCGCTCCATAAAATGGCACATGATCGGTGGTCTGCAATCGAACAAGTGCAAGCAGCTGGCCGAACAAGTGCCGAATCTGTGGTGTGTGAGTAGTGTGGATAGTGAGAAGAAGGCGAATGAGCTGGAGAAGGGGAGGAGGGCGTTGGTCGAGAAAGATGGAGACGATAAAGTGCAGGTGGAAGAGAAACTGCGCGTGAAAGTCCAGGTCAACACCTCCGGCGAAGAAGCCAAATCCGGCGTCGAGCCCTCCGACACTCTCGCGCTATGTCGGCACATCATAGACAAATGTCCCCATCTCCTCCTCCACGGCCTCATGACCATCGGCGCCATTGCGCGCAGTCAAGCCACGACGCCCGAGACCGAAAACGAGGATTTCGTTAAACTCAAGGAGGTTAGGGATCAGGTGGTCAAGGAGCTTGGGTGGGAAGAGGGACAGTTGGAGTTGAGTATGGGCATGAGTGCGGATTTTGAGGGGGCGATTAGAATGGGGAGTGATGAGGTTAGGGTGGGGAGTCAGATTTTTGGGGAGAGGCCGGCGAAGAAGGATGCTGTTGTTGTGGAGAAGGAGACGAAGGGGGAGAGCTGAGGGGGTGTATTGGGTAAGCGTACAAACATTTTGTGCGGGCAGCATATTGAAGTAGAGAGTCTGACCTCTCGGATTCTTGCGAAGTGAGCATGGGTTCTGACCGCCTTTTTGTGCGTCTAGATAATTTTGAACTCCCCTTCTACTGCCTCTTCTTCCATTACAGATTCAACATCCCTGGAGTCCAAGATTATCGTAAGATCCGGTTCTGGGTATATACCGACACGCATGTATTCTCCTTCTACACTCGCCACACTTCTCAAGAGTAACCAATAGCCCTTGCGGCTACCTCTCTTATTGTTCCACAAAAACGGGCCATCAAATTGGACAATGTTCAGAGCAGTGATCTGCGTGCCGATTTTGAGATCGGTTTGTTCCCAATAAGGAAAGCAAACAAAACATTGCGCTGTTATGTTGAGTGGAGATCGGAGCCGGAGGGCGGCGGTATAGCCAGGTGCAGTGATGTGGCCGACCAAGTACCTGCCTCTCAGAACAATGGATCCATAAGATATCTGACCCATTGGGTCATCTCCTTTGGATTTTGTCATCGCGCTAAGAACAGTGGCGAATGTGGTCGTCTTTGGATCGGACCCTGGAGGAAACCAGGTCACTCTTTCTGGAGCTGCAGCCCACGACCAGGATGGAGCACGCCATTCCTTAAGCTTACTCCTCAATACTTTAGTAACGTGCCAACAGAGGCTCTGAACTAAGGTGGCCTCCCAATGTCCAGCATAATATCTACCCATGACTTGGGGCACCAGTTTGGCTAGTCCTTGCAAACCAGGAAAAATATCACTGGGATATGTGAGCGACTTCGTCGTATATATAGTCACAATCTCCTCCCAGTAGCTTTCAATGTCAATTGGCGATGACAACTCAAGCATCCTATCTATTTGGTTCATATCGACCCCGAATGTACTTCTGCCGTGGTATTCACTGCGGCATTCGCAAGTGATCGTCTCTCGGCATTCCCACCAGAGCTCTTGCTCCATAAAGTGAACAACACGCTTCGATAGCATCCGTTCCTGGAAAACCCAGCCTCGATCATGCAGTGGAACTTGAAGTCGAGGAATCCATTCGTGGCAATGTAGTCCGTATGTCCCCTCATAGTTGTTCTTAAATACACTTGTATGAGGCATGTATTCCGCATCAGGTGTTACGAAACAACCTTGGGAAGGTCTTGATGCCCATGTCGCGGAGAGGGTTATAGCTGCATTCGAGTAGATGTCTGACATCCGACTTCCTTCGTGACGCCAATCGTCGGGCGAGTCTTGGATTATACCTAAATCTCAATTAGTTCTTGGATGAGAGGTCTGGCGCAGATTGCAAGTAAAGAAGACTGACAGAGTGAATCAATCCATAGGTAACCGAAGCCAAGCGCATGAGCGAATTGAATGGCATCTTGATAGGTTTTGGGCAGCTCGTCCCAGGGAAGTTGTACTGCGTATTGCTCCAAAGTTATGGTAGTGGTCTGAATCATGACCTGCCCACCCCAACGGTGACTTAAACAAGCATACTCAGACCGCTCAACGCCTGAAGTGTGTACGCTGGCTTTGGAAGGCCCTTCAATCCGAATTACTCTCGTTGGTAGCTGCGGGATTGAAGACTGGAGACACAGCTGGTGACTCGAAAGACACTCAGTATACCAAGACTTTACCTTCCCGACAGCGGTCGCGGAACCCGTGTGATCACTTATCCTTGGTACTGACTGCAGATGACACCACGGACTCATATGTTCTACTGATGTTAGTAAGGGCTGCAGAGTGGCTCTGCATTACTCCGTCAGGATCTAGACGGACCTTTCGGTGAATCGGAGACGTCTTCTCCAGGTTCGGAAGGTGTATTTCTGAGTACAATTACACCACAGATAGTCTCCGTGGTTTTTGGGCGCCAATAATAACCCATGTCGCGCGAGGCCCATTCACCAGTGTAGTTGAAGAATCCTTTTCCAATTCGAAGAACCATGTCGCCATTCTGCTCTTTCATCCATCTGAGATAAGGCTTTAAAGCCCAAGCGACGACTTTGCAACCCGAGCAACCTTGTTTCGCATTACGAACGACGTCTATTGCGGAGTTATAACGCCTCAGATAACTTCCAAGTCCGTACTTCTGGCGATAGTCAGCATCCCAGACCTCATTTCCGAGGTTGAGGCACAAAGGACATATCGACTCAGGAAGAACTTCCAATCCAGCTGCAACGGGGCGTGGCAAGTCGTGTGAAGTTCGGCCTGTCTCTAGATCATTTCCCATAGTTGTAAGCCGCTCTTCTGTTATTCTAGGTAGATATCCCTCGGCGACAGGTAGCTTCGATGACTTTCTCGAAAGTGGTCTTGATTCCAAAGACTTCAGAGATCTGGCAAGGCTGAGGAGTCTGGACCTTTTCCCAGCAGCTTCGACCATCTTCGCTGGTGGGCAAATGTAGCTTTCGGACGCCGCATACAGACATGCAGAACAAGATATATTAAGAGAGGTATGAGGTGTAAAGAGAATGCGATGGCGCAGGGAGGATGAAAGAGAAGAAGTTCGGTGCTAAGAAGTTGAAGTGCGGCTGAGGAAGGCACAACTCAGCCTCGTCACGCGCATGCGGGTCTACCTCATCAGGCAGCCAGCTCGGCGCGACGCCACCAAAATCATTCCGGCATTTTACGTTCGCGTTCAGTAGGTTCAAAAGAATATGGGCATGTGTATCGTATTTAGTAACGATCGAAGAGATGCGAATCCCGGTAGCAAGTGCGGAGTAAAAGGGCGCAACTGCCGTCGTGCCATGGTACAACATCGCGCTTGGGGCCTGATGCATTCATGCTACCTAGGAAGACATACTATGCTTGAGTCACATATCTAAAGGACACTCACATTTAATATTGCTGTTTCTATTTGGTTCGAACAACACACTTCTTAAAAGACTTCCAACTGTTTGACTAATCAATACGCAACATTCTGCCAGATCCACCTCCGTTCCTCTAACAAGCCCACGATCCACCATACCAACTCCATCACCCGAAGTATCACAACATATCAAAGATGCCCGTAACAACGATCCCACACCCCTCCGCATCATCCTCTACCACTCTCACACCCGCCGCCAAACCAGTCTTCTTCTGGAAGCCGCGCGACGGCCACGGTTACCTCTGCCAATGGTACTGGTCCAAGTTCACCATCAACGACGAAACCTACGCAACCGCCGAGATGTGGATGATGGTACACAAAGCGCGTTGTTTTGGCGATGAAGAGATTGCGAAACAGATGTTGGAGACTACAAGCCCAAAAGAGCATAAAGATCTGGGACGAGAGGTCAAGGGGTTTGATGAGAAGGTTTGGGATGAGCGTATGTACTCCACGTTCTTCGCGGTACTTCTAGAAGGGGATGCTGACTGGGTGGCAGGAAAGATGGAGATTGTGAAGCTGGGCTCTTATCACAAGTTTACGATTAGCGAGGATGCGGAGAATTTAAGGAAGATGCTTTTAGCTACTAGCGATCGCGAGTTGGTCGAGGCTAGTCCACATGATAGGATTTGGGGCGTGGGGTTTGCGGAGAAGGATGCGGAGAAGAATCGGTATCGGTGGGGACAGAATCTTCTGGGAAGGGCGTTGATGGATGTTAGGAAGAGGCTGAGGGAGGAGGATTAGAAATGAGATGGAGGAAGACGTTCTCACAAATACATATGATGCAGATTGACCGGTGTATTGTTCAAGTACGATGGCTCGTTAGATATTCCCTGGAACAACAATGATACCGGGGAAATCCAACACCAACTTTCCTTTATATTTCGTCGTCACAACCATGCTCCTGGTACATACAGTGACCATTTTTCTGAATCGTAGCTCCATCTCTTTCTTGACGTCTCTCGTCCATGATGGTCCAAACGTCACACCAGCCCTCTGATATTCGTCCTGCACAAAGTCACTCCAGTCTAGTTCCAGTCGAACCTGGCGCAGTTTACCTAGGCTTCTGACCCTACCCAAGACATTGATCAAACGATGCAAGCACCCCAGTTTGCCTTGCCTGACTTGATCGATGATAACAGTAAGATCGGATGTTGGCACCGATGGCTCGCTCCGGTAGATAACACTATCGGTCTGGAGGATACTTTCGGTTAGAAACTCAAGGACATCGACACCGAGTGTGAGGCACTCCAAACTCGGCATTTGGTTTAACAATATGAGTGCACAACCGAGTTCTTCGAGTAACTTGGCTTGTGTTTTCCGAAGGCCTCCATCATCGCTTGGAGCCAAGGTTTTGAGTACGTACGGGTGGAGATGGGCATTATCGATGATGCTAAGACGGTGTTCCTGGGAATGTTGAAGCACAGACGAATCAGTGAAATGGGCCGGGTCGAAAAGGCCACGGATGGTAAAGAAAGGAATGGCAATCCTTCGTACACGGACTCTGTTCTTAGGCGCCAGGGCTCGATAGAAAGCTGCAACAATGGGGCGACAAGTGCGTTGGCTATCCGTTAATACGAATGTAAAGCTTTGGTACAAGTAGGAGAGTACTTCGTTTTCGAAGGTCCAATGCGTGCAGATAAGATTTAGGATAGTTTCCCAACGCTCGATATGAAGCTCGTCTTTCTGGGGCTTGTCTTTCTAAAGCTTGTCTTCCGAATCCAGTGTCGACTTGACCAGTGTCACTCTGATAGTCCGATCTGGGGTGTCGCTGACGATGTAGTCGTAAATCATCTGACGAGTCTCGCGTGCAAGGCGCATGATGCCGGCTTCTGGCTCGACCATACTAGATATTAATCGGGTGGATTAGTAGCTTCTACATGCTTGTACTTATAGCTGGGAATCCGATGAGTTTGTGATCAATACCGTCACGTTGGGTGACAGAGCAATCTTTCTGAGCGACAAATGACTTGACATACACATGACACCAAATTGAGTTGACCATCTGATGAAAGCATCGTCGGACGGATACATGCTGGTTACGCCGAACATATAGATACGTTCGGGTGTGTTGAAGGCATCCAGGCCCCAAAATTGCGAGTTCGACAAGCCATGAAACGTTGGTAAGTGCCTCCCGGATGTCCTGTGTTTGGATTGGTTTGTTGGTTGGTGTATCTGTCCATTCCGCACGACATGGAACGCGCATCGGTCATGGGAGGCCTGCCACGTCATCCGATTGATATCGATGAAGCGTGTGGTAAGGGTTGTCAGATGCTATTACTATGATTTCTCCAGGTACGTGGTCCGCGCATGGCATATTAAGGCCCGAGAAGGGTACGTAAGATTAGAACGGGTGCGAGACGCCCTCTAGGGCTGCCTCGGTTGCCATCTACAGATACTGCGATAGCGCGTTGTGACGAGCTATCCATGGCTTTTGCGAGTGATGTTGAAAGGAGCCCTCGGGCGTAATTGTGGAGCGAGCTGAGAGACGGAAGTACTCGTGTCTCTTGGTGCGGGGATACGTCAAGTCGACTAGAGGCGAGTGTGATTAGCAGCACTATCGGTGATAGGAGGCGCAACCGTATCGGTGATAGAGCGAGGCGGGACGGACGGAAGGCGAGCGAGGCAGTACGAGACCGTATCGAGATGAGCTCCGCGAAAGGTCGCTTTTGCCGTGTTGTGATATTTACGACGGCCTGACGCATACATCGGCTTCTGTCTGTTAGTATCTTAACAATAAACCACACCGTATGCTTCAGGGTATAGGTTGATGTAAGCAACATTGACGAGCCGGGCTGCTTCGCAATATGCGAACGGTAGGGCAGGTTTCGTGATGCCTGCGGTTTCACGGTTTTGGCGGCCAATCCATCGCCTCGGCTCCACAAGCGCCAACAAATGCGGAGGCGGCAGGCGCGCGACCGTATCACGTGTACGAAACACCACCTTGGCAACGTCACCCTCGTGTTGTCTTACGGAGACCAAGCGACTCTTACCTGCGATACACAACCTGCGCTGTCTGAACGAAGCGCGCTCACAGGCCGCAGACATGTCGACAATGATAACATTTGCCGCGAATAACGAGTTTTTCCGAAAGCGCAAAAGTGCGTATAGACCGTGCGCAACACAACAAGCAGCAGCAGCTAACAGCGTCGCGCAGGAGTCCATCGCGCCTGCGAATCATGCAAGAAGAGAAGAGTAAGTTCTAGCAGTAAACTTCTGAAGGCCATCCTTTGACGCTATACTAGAAAAGGTGCTCGCATACGTTTGATGATGACGAGGGAGCCACGGGTGGCGGCAGCGTTCCCCAAAGTGGTGGCGGAAGCAATCCGACATCCTCAGACAGCCCTTCTACGAACGGACATTATCATGATCCCAGGGGGGCGCGTGGAGACTACGGTCATGCTCAATCCACAATGCCGCCGCCGCAAAGCCCGGCCTCGGACCACACAGTCCAAACACCACCCAACTTCTTGGGCTATCTCAACCCTGAAGCCGTCTTGCGAGAGCAAGTTCACTCCGAGCGTGGAAAGACTGCTCAGTCGCCCAGCCATCCTCCCATTGGACAATGGATCGAAGAACGAGATCAGAGACAGGCATCGTCGCAAGTGGGTTCAGGCGCTTCGCGGATAGTAGAAACAGGTCCGCATTCCAACCAGGAGGCTCAGGTATCTAGGGCTCTCCTAACCTACCTAGACGCGGTCGGAGTTGATATACTCCCTTCTCGTATGAACCAAACTGCGCTTCTCGAGATCTACTTCAGCTACGTCCATCCGCTGCTCCCGCTTGTGGACAAGGAGCTGTTCTACGAGCAGTACAACTATGGCCGGGAACCTCGAATTCTGATGCAAGCAATTTGTATTGTCGCTTCGAAACACGCAACAGCCGCCAAGCACCTTTACTTGGGTAACGAGACCCAGCCACTCAATCCACGCGAGTTCTCTCAAAGGCTCTACAATGCCGTTATTGTTGGGATCGAAGCAAAGCTAGAGAAGAATCGCGTCGTGCTCATCCAAGTGCTTGCTCTCATATCGCTTCATTGCGAAGGTCCAGATGGCGCTGAGCAAGCCTCCATGCATCTTGCGCAAGCCATCCATCACGCGCATACATTCGGCCTTCAATTTGGACATCAATGGAAAAACCAAAGTTCGGAATCCCAAGGCAATCTGGAGGATGTCTTTTGGTGTCTTTGGAGTCTGGACAAGATTAACGCTTGTATGAACGGAAGACCTTTGCTGATGCATGATCGCGACAACAGTTTGAGACAACTCCCTCAAGATCCAGAAAAGAGATCAAGCCCATTTGGAATCTGGCTTCAAATCTCCGAGATGTTGGACAAGGTCATCGACTACTATAGGCCTGGCAGAGCTGCTGAAGAGACAGGCTGGGAAGGCGATGACTTCTTAGGATTTGAAGAGATGGTTGGAGATGGTGAAGACAAGCTCGATGGCCCTATCATGAGTAAATGGCTTCAAAATCTGGAATTTTATTTTTGCTAACCTTTTCAGGTCTCCTATCGCTTTTTCATCACACCATGTGCATGGCTTCCCACAAATCCCTCTCCATCAACGCGCCGGTCAAGTCAACACCCTCTTACGTCCGACAAAGTCTCTCCGCGACACGAGTGATTCATCTTCTTAACGCTGAATCCCCCGAGCTACTCCCACCGCTTCCGATCGTACCGTACGCACTCGGTGTAGCCCTCAGCGTGGTGTATCGTCACTTTCGCTCTCGCCGCCTCAAGGTCCACGTCAACCGCGCCACCGAAGAACTCAAGCAATGCGTCCGCCTTCTCGACCGATTACGAAACTCTTGGTGGTCTGCAGGCACGACAGCTGATCTCGGACGAGCTGTACTTAGCAATGCAGCAGGGCGCAACACTAACGCTGTCAACACACCGGTACCGGTTCCAGCCGAACCCCGACCGACCGAGCCGAAGACGGAGCCGCCAGCACCGCAAAACGCACATAACAACCAAATGCCACCACAAAACCAGTCGCAGCCATGGCCGCAGAACATGGGAGAGACGCCTATCGACCCTCGGCTCCAGCAACACCAAAATCATCCTCACGCCAACTCGCCCATGAACAGTCTTCTCAACCCGATAAGCGCTCCTACGCCCGGTCAACACCCCACAAGCAGCGAACGCGCAGATCGCGCGCCTATGACGGGCCCTCCTGCCGGATTTGGATTCGCTGAGCAGTCCCCGGACTGGCTGAATTTCGACGCTGCGTTTGAGAACTTTGAAGGCTTGTTGGGAAGTAGCGGTGCGGATCTGAGTAACGAGTTGTTCAAGCCGTTGAACTATGAGACACTGGAGGGATTCTTAGATCCTGCTGCTTAGGTATTCTTTGTACTATACAGGTTGTATTCGAGTTACCGGGGGCTACGTAATGATGAAACGTAGGCATATTGATTAGCTTTGATGGCGTTGTCTATGGCCCGCCTGTGCATTGTCTCCGTCGCGCTTCGATATGTGAGCATCAAAGCTTCCATGCTACAGTGATGTATTCGTCACGCTGCCTCCGTCTCTTCCCGCTTTGACGTTGTTCATTGTCATTATTTTGCGACGTCTTCCCCATACTTGGCCCCCAACTCAGACATTCTCTTCTTCCAAAACCCCAATCTAGCACTGTCACAAACATCCCCGCCCCCCTGACTGGCCCAAAGATCACCCGGGGGCAACGTCTCCATCCCAGCTTCACAAAGCTTTTCAATCTCATCTCCCGCAATCCGGAACCATGCCT